ACTTGCAGCATAACCTCACCCTCTCTTGCTCACCTTCCTTCCTCTACATGTTTTCAGCCCGACTTATTAGGCCCTCAGTTTAATTGTAAAGTCAGATGTGGACTGTCCATTAATCATTTCCTGGGAACACATCTGCCTTTGCAGAATTTTAGATAAGATACATGAATAACTTTTCCCTCCAGATGTCCTCTTTTTCTCTTCTCTGAATGCTCTCTGGGTGGATTTTGGGGAGGAGCAGCCTGCCTGGATTTCCAAAACCCTCACCAAAATGAGAAATCAAGCTTTGATTTTACAGGGCCATGCAGGCGTCACCAAGTGCAGCAGCCAGCCAGGAGCAAAGATGGGTATTGGCAGGCAACAGAAACAGCAGCACATTCAAAAATGAAACTGCAGAGCAGCTGCAGGCTACATGAGTGCATTGAGTTAGAGGCTTTGCAGAAAACTAATTAGATACTGCAGATATAACAGGGTTTGTAGAAAACCAGGGTAGGGTTGGGGAGACAGGTTAAGAAGCACTAGAGAGGTGAGGAGGAGGAGAAGGTAGGGGAGAGGTGTGGAAAGAAGGGCTCCACTCTCCTCCCACCTCATCTCTGGGGCAGGTTGACCAAAACGCTCAGTGAGGAGCTTGGAGGGGAAGCTGCGGGGTGGAAATTTGGGCTGGGAAGCTCAGGGGTGTCAGTGCCAGGTTGGGCTGGGGCACTCCAGGTTTGGGTAGCAGGGGTCAGAGGGACCAGTATTAACCTTGGGGCACCATCTACCTCAACCCTTAATCTGAAGATCACTTAACCAGCACCGTAAAGACTCATTGGGCTCTTCTTCCCCACAGAGGGTTGCCAGGCTCCCCATACAAAGGTACATTGCCGTCCTGCTAGGAATACCCTCCTTTTTGTTGATGCAAACATGGTATCTCAAACTACAAGAGATCAACTGTGCTAATTCCCAGGTCCTACAATTAGTTACACTAATTTCCACAAGTCTGGGATTAATATTTTTGGCAGGAAAACCTAAACAGAAAAATATTTCACATGGGTTTTAGTCATTAGTATGTATTTTCACTGGCTCTCATTTGTAACCTCCATACAAAAAGGTACTATGTTGTATTAAAAGTTTGCAAATCAGTTCCAGAATAGAGCTGGTACAGCTGGATTAATTTTCTTAATAGGAATGTGCCCGTTCTGTGGTTTGCCAACCAGCTCTGGCCTATGGCCCATTCCTCGCAGACCCCTTTACTACAGGCCCTTCAAATGTGGCCCTGGGTTGACCTGGGCAATGCACGAATTGCTCTGGCAGCCTGTGTCCTGCTACCCTTTTTCCGGGAGTGCTCCGTAGTACTTTGCAGCCATGTGGTTGGGAGCAAATGATCAGCACCTTCTATATATTCAATTGTGTAACAGAGCCCACGTGCTGCCAAGAAACACTCTTGGAAGGCAGGGTAAAATAGATACCCATTGTCCGAGTGCTGCCATCATATTGGCAAAGTATACCATGTACTTTAGTCCCATGGTGGCAGAGGTCTAGATGTACACACTTGCATACGAGGCCACCTTACCTGCTGTGGCCAAAGGTTGTGGGACACTCGTCATAGAAAGATTAAGTAGTTAATCAAGGTTCAGAGAGCAGCTACCTCAGATATAATTTGTAGATATTAATGTAGAACATTACACAGCTACATTTTTCCTTATAGCTAGAATAAAAGGAGTGCAATCAATTGAACTTTGACTAAGTAGATTGGGTTATAATTAGGTCTCAGGTGTTGGGTAAACACAGAATTACGATTAATCACTTACCTTTCAAACTTCTTCATAAAACCCAGATAGCACTATGTACCTCAAAGGACTGTTGCTCAGTGTACTTCCTGTGAACGGCTTTGAGAATCATGGAGAGAAGCCATATTATATAACAAGAGATGACAAATTAGAAATACAATCTTGATAATCCACAATAAACGCATGCAGATTTTCTATATGTAATTAATTCAGTTCATATAAATGATGAAGTTCTAGTGGAAACTGAAAAGCAGAAACTTAACTAGGACTTACTGCTTTTCTTTAAAACAACGTCCTGCCCCCATTTTTTCCTACAGAACATGTCATGTAGAACATCAGAACATATCTGATTTTTTAATTTATCCTGTTACCATATTTTAAGTGGGAATTGTATTGATACATACATTAAAAGCCTAATGCTTTCTCAATATTAGACTGTAAAATAAAGCAAGCAGCTTCTACAACTGGTTTATAAAGAGATTCTACAAATAGCAATTTAAAAAAGGAATATTATCTCCTTTGTATATTAAGTATTTCTAAACCTATCTTTTTTTTTTGATCAGGACAATAGCACTACTTTCTTTTTTACACAAATTAATAATCATCATTAAATGTTATTATTTGCCCCAAAGCAATTTCTAAATTGTTTATCACTTCAAAATAACAAAATGATAGTTATCAATTTGTAATAGTAGTGTGTGTGCGGGGGTGTCAAGTATGTGCCAGAAACATTCAAAAAGATACATTTTTTTTTTTTTAGTATTAGCCCATATCCAAAGGGAACTCATTCACTGACCTCACACAGTGCTGGCACAGACTAGGTAGACCAGAATGTCCTCCCCTACACCCCAATACTCTCAACTTAGTATCTCAAAAAGAACAACTAAATAACAATAAAGAAAATAATAAAGAAAAACGAAAAGGAGGTTAAGAAAAAAATCATGAACTCCAGAACCTCTTTTTCTTTCTGCTCCTAGCAGTGTCTCACACAATTTATTTCTCAAACATAGCTTTTGGAGCCCTTCATGTTAATAAAAGCTTCAGCATAAACTTTCAAGAACACAGTGTAACTTCCAAGGGCAACCATAACGTGTGTACTGCTTGCTAGAACGAACAGAGCTGCAAGCGACAGCCTTACATAGTCCTAACATAGTTCAGTAAAGCAAACCTTCATCAGTACAAGTGGACAACTCCTAACAGGTGTCTGTTAACCACTTGAATAGCCTCTGTACAGAAGCTACTCTCTCTCTTTGAGATTTTGACAATGAAGATATGCATTGTCTACAAAATTTATTTCTGTAAAGGTAAAAATAAGGGCACCACATTTCACCCACAGCATGCAAAAGAAGCTAGGATTCATTTAATTTTCTATTCAAATAAAAATTGAGCAGGCAGAAACTTGTAATACATCCTGTTTTATGATGAGGCGTTGTATGAGGATGATTCTCCCTTAGCGACTTTAATCTTCCCACCTTCCCAGGTAAGGCTGTGGTCATTTCCTACCAAAAAAGCCACCGTCACTTAATACTGAGCCACTAACACTAAATATGGACTACACACTTAACAAACCACTGGAGACAGAAACAGCCCTCCTCAGAAATGCATCACAACTACAGTACTTCACCGCCATCTCATACCTTAAACGGGAAAACTCTTCAGCAAAACGGTAAGGCCTGTGGAAGTAACAAGCAGCACTGAGCTGTAGTATCCATGATCCATTGGTTGATGATGGAACAAGCTGATCAAGTTCCAAAGGCAGCACATGGACATCATCCAAGCCATTCAGCCAAAGGAGGCAGCCCGCCAGGCTGCTGTACTCTGACACTGTGCTGCCAGTGTGCCAGGCATCACTTTTTATAGGAGTGACATTTTTCTGCAGAAATAGCCATCCCGTTGCTGCTGGCGCTTGATTCCTGTGCAAGTCCTGCACTTGACAGCACTGTGCATCCCTCAGAAACCAGAGGCTCTTTGAGTGCAGCTTAGATATGAGGACATCCGCACTGAAGATCAAAATGGGGAAAACACTGACTTACGAACGGGTGAATGCTGATGCCAACACAACAATGGATGAGCTAATGGTAACCAGTCAGAGAATACTGTTTGTCCCCAAAACTCATAGCAGCAATGAATTTTTTAAATGTGCCTTTTTAGACAGACCAAAAACCTTGTTTTAGGTAGTACTGGAGATAGCAGATTAGAAATATTTAACAGGATTGAGAGGGAAATCTTAAGACTTCCACGTATGGTAGATGAAACAGGTAGATGAATCTATCAACAGCATGAGTTCTCTCAGAGCCACCAGATTTCTTACTTCCTAAAACACCTGGTAGATAGTAAACTTAAGATTTGAAGCAAGAGGCTGTTGTCAAATGGATGCTTTAGAACCAGAGTCCTCATAGACTTTTCATTACAAAAGAACTAAACAGAGATCAAATCTGCATGCATGGAAAATGAATAAATGGCTTATTTACAGAGGACAGGGGATTCTCCTGAACAGTAAGACATATATCATAAAGGTTAGTCGCATAAGCAGTGGAGAGAGCAAAGCGGGGAGACTATCTCCACCAAACTTAACTGAAAGCAAAGGGGAAAAATTTTAACAGCTGTAATGCAGTTAAATAAAAATTAAACACAACCTAAATACGCTAATTGCCAAAGATCTTGACCAAAGTCACCAGATCAGCATGTTCTCCGTCTTGCTTATCTCAGAGAGACCTGAGGTGCCTTTAACAAAAACGTATGTAGTCTCACCATGTCATGTTAGATATGCTTAGCTGCAGTGCCATGCTAACGTAGCTGCACCGATGGTGAACCCGACTTGGTAGGACTGCTTTATTGATAGGCTATCATGAAGGATCTAAGACTCCAACTCATTACCCAAACAGTAAGAACAAGGCAGTGATTGGTGATGCTCTTCTAGGTTTTCACCACTGGGAGAGGAAGATGCACAGCACACATGCACCACCTTGCTAGGCACCACCAGTTAAACACTGTTTCAGCACTTAAGCACAAAAGTAGAACAACGCAAACCCCTCTCAATCCTGAGAAGAGCTAAGTAATGAACAAACACTAGTTATCAGAGTACCAGCTTACATTAAATTAGCTTAAGCGTACTTGGCTAAATGATATAACTTAAAACGAGCAGCAACTGTGCCTACAATGAGACCCTAGCAGACACATACTCTGTGAAAAGGTTTTCGTTTGATTTTAATGCTTTTATATACACTTGGTTAATTGGGAAAAAACGTTCAACATTGCAAGACAAGAGAAAAAAAAATGGAGCAACAGCTATGGCTCCAACCACACAATACTAGGCTAGAAGTTTATCTTTCCTAATTTTCAGTTGCGTATTAAAATTTAGTATTTACAAGAGTTTAATGTTTTTATACTTAAATATGAGAAAGGTACATTGTAGAAAAACACCAGTAGAAAACTACAAGAGCCCACATATCCTTTTAGTTTAAATTTAATTTGTCAGATAGAAGTTATCTATGTACAATCAGTGTGCATTGTAACAATTCTATTAATAAAGTCATTCAAATCTTCTAAAATATTAACTGGCTGCATAGCACATTTGACATTATTGCCCATGTTAAAGAGGGAAAACAAATGGATTTACAATAAATTTTGGCTGATTTGGATTCTGAAGTGTTCAGATATTGAACACTCCTTCTTTAAAACCAATGCACCTGAAAAAATTTCCAGAGCACAGTTTAGCTAAATATTTCTCACCATTTCATTACAACAATCACAACACTGAACAGTTTAATAGAAAAAAAACCAAAACATGTATCTAAAGTATCCAATAAAAAAAAGGAGCACTAAATGGAATAAAATGTTCCCTTTCCCCATTTTTACATTCTGAACAGTGATTCCATCAAGATATTTTATTAAAAAGTGTAAGTACACTGATTTTGTTTCATACTTGTGATAAGAAGGCCTGAGTTGGTGGGGAAAGGAACAGTCAAAAAAAGCCTGAGAGGGGAAAAAGCTCATTTAATTAATTTACAATAATTTACAGCCATTTTTGTGTTTTTTTGTTTTGTTTTGTAAAAAGGCATTACAACTGATCACGAACAGGAGAAATCCTGGCTATTTTACAGGTATAGGTACAGAATTTAAATATTCAAGCTTGTGATGAAAAGCGGCAAGGTGGTCGCAGTGTACAATGTAAACAAGTAGCTTTGGAAAGTGAACAAAGTCCTTGAGAGTTCTTTACTAAGAAAAAAACAACAAAAAAAAACCCAAAAAACCAAACTCCTCATTCCTTCCTGAAACATGATCACAGGTCAGTGTTTAAAAGTTCATTTACAAACATAATTTAAACTGTGTTCAGCCTAAAACCACTTTGACATGAAGAGTTTTATAATAAGATCCAGTCTGAACGGGGCAGTGTTGAGGTCCCTGTAAAAGTAAACATCTTCCATTTCTTAAAAAAAAGTGCCACAACATTTGCAGCACAGTGCAGCATAAACTTTAAATACAAAAATATTTTTCTTCTGTTGGGATAATAGACCTTGCATCCTGGAAAGAAGTAACAATACTGCTACTGATAGAATATCCAGTCCATATCTTTCAAGTCATGTAAGGCAATTACTGTGTTAGTTTACTGTATATGGCTAAAAGAGGGTCCAGAAAATGTCAGTCTTCGTTATGTTTTCCGGCTACTCCATGAATGTTCAGGTGTACTTTTGTGATCTGATGAGTGTTCAAACGGAGATCTGTGTCCTAAGGGAGATCTTGAACCGTAAGGAGACCTCTGATCTAATGGTGACCTTGGGCCACTACCAGAAGCTCTGTGGTCCATTTGCCAGTCTGAGTGGTACCTATAATCTCGAGAAGATTTATGATGACTGTACTCTGAAGTGGAACGGTGATCTGAATGTATCCGGTGGTCTGAATGGGAACGGTGGTCTGAATGAGGCCGACTGTCTTTTAAACTTCCTTCCAAGTTTGACCTGTGATCTCTGCTCCTGTGATCATCCAACTTTCTGTGTTTACTATCACTGTAGTATCTGAAAAATAAATTATTTATGTGAGTGTTACTGAATCCACAGTAAGAATTACAATTATGCCAGTTCAACAAAACCGCATCACAGAGATAATTTCTTTGAAATTCTGCATTCCTCACAAGAGACGCTTTGATGCTTACTACAAGCATATTACAAACAGAGGAAGGGAGCTCTGAACAGATTTTACAACTGCTGAAGCAACTCACCTGCTGTCTTGTTTGTAGTGATCCCAGTCTCTATGATCTTTTCCATTGCTGAAGGCTGAATAGGGCCTTTTCCTCGAGTCACTTTTTTTATAAGCATCTCCCTGATGCCTGTCTTTGTGATGATCATGGTATTGTGACAGGTGTCTATCAGAAGAATAACTGTCCCTGCTACTGTCATCATGATTTGTATTCTCTTTCAGTCTTTCCACATCTGTTTAATAAAGCAAAGGTTATAAAGGAAGTTTCATGGACTATAAAACTTTTTCCTTACCTAGTTCAAACAGCACTTCTACATGTCAGATTTAAAACAACGCAAAAGTGACATTACAATTTGACAGAGACAACATCTAAATAGCTGAAAGACAAGAGCACTACTGTGAGTGAACTGAAAGACACCTGAGAAGTAAGTAGGAGGGAAACAAGCTAGAAATGTAGCTGTGTAGGGCTGAGAAACTGAACTTTTCAGCCTTGCAGACCAAATGCTTCTTAAGTGAAGGAAAACAGTGTGGTCCAAATGAGCAACAGTAAAGACCTGGTGCCTTTAGTATAGCAACTGTAGACACAGTGGTAGAAGTTACCTCTCTAAGGAGGGATGGCTCTAGCACGCACATGAGTTTTAAAGGTATACTTGGTTAATGAAAGGTTTTCAGTGGTATTCCTAAAATATATTATATACATTTTAAGCCCATTAGAATAGTTATAACACAATATAAAAGCAAGTATTATAAAAAGGCAAGTGTTTGAGCATAGAAAGATGGTGTCAATAATAAAAGACATCCCGTATAACTGATTGCTAACCACGACTTCAGGGAATACCCTTCTTAAACCACAGTGACATTACAACTGCTACAAATAAGCACAGAACTCCCAAGTTTTGAGTAGACCCCTCCCTCCCCAAAATTAAATACAAAAAGTTTTGTTTGTTTGGTTTTTTTTTTTAAGAGGATGGTCAAATAACTTACTACTAAACCCAGAAAGTACCAGGTTCAGTCTGTGCTCAGTTCAATTTCATCAGCAAACTACTTAAATTACGCTAAGTCAGCATATCCCTATGATATCTAGCAGTATGGAAGCTCTAGGAGACTGGTTTTGAGGTTATTTCATTTCACATACCTCATCTAAGATATCCAGCACAAGAATATATGTCAGATTTCTTACCTGGATTTCTAATTACATGTGTATTCACATTGCTGCTGATATTCTGGTCGTTGTGTTGCTAAAAGAAACAAGTACAAAAACTGTCATTCATAAAACATAAAGTTACATCTGAATACTTTAAAAACATCCCCCTGCAAACGGCTAGTTACAAACACAAAAATATACCTCAAGTATTTTTTTTTTGTTCCTGGTAATCCATTAAACCGTTACTCTAATAATACAGCTATACTACTTAAAATATGTATTTTTTATATTTAGAGAGAGTCTGGAAACATTACCTGAGACTCTTGACGTTTTTTGATTGCATGTTTGTACAGCTTGTGCAGCTTTCTGGCATCAAATTCTGTAAACTTAGAGACAAATATCCACAGATTTCTGAGGAAGAAGAAAGAGTGGTTATAATTCTTCTGTATGTTAGTTTCTTCTTGTATCATGCAACAGAACATGGACTTAATTGAAATTTCAGCAGTACTTTGGTAAACTAAAATCGCTGTAAGAGCCACTACATAGCATATTATCTAGCTGCATAACGAACTAGCTGGCTGTATTTCAAACAACTGAAAAATTAATTCCTTTAACAACTTATTGCTTTGTAATATTTATCATAATGATTTCAGAGTACAAAGACACGCATGAAAAGTTATATTTAAAACAATTCTGTTAATAGCATGATTTGTAAGACTACCTAAAAACATAGCTTTCAATTTGCTGTGGAAGTCTTTCGAAAGACTGCTTGAAATCTGACAGAAAATCTGGGTATTTCTTACTCAATAATGCTTTTTCTAAGACTGAATTATTTTGTAGTGTAAGACCTTTGACCTACGTGTCTCATTTCCTAAAAATATCAGAGAGAGAGAAAATTTTTCCCCACAGAAGTCTAAAGCCTGGTCAAAACTTTTGAAATCAAATGCGAAATCTGAAAGGGAATGGAAGTGGCATGGCCAAAACTTCAAGTCCAACCTGGAGTATCTACACTATGAAGCAAGAAGAACAAATCAACTCTTGCTCTTGAGAAGCCAAAACGCTGAAGAAAAGGTTTGCTTCTACAGTCTCAGACACCAGATCCAAAGTCTAGAATTCTTTCAGTCAGATTTACAGGTGGAGTGCTTAAAAGCAACTACAGAATGTTAGTGTTCAACTTAGGGCTTAGCTCAGAAACATTTTAAGTGCGTAGGCTCAAGAAGCATCAGTTTGCTCTTCTGCTGTGATGATTTAAATACTATAGTTTTTGCTTAGAGGTTTGCAAAAGTAGATACAATCAATCAATGGTCTGCCTAATGACATCTGTATAACTTTAATAAATGCAGTGTTACTACACTACACATCTTAAAGACAGGTAAAATACGTATTTTAATAATCTGCTTATAGTATTGTAGCATTATTACTAATTATTATTATAGTAGCTGTATTATGAACTTCCACTAAAAGAAATATAACGTTTACCAAGATGCCTTTGAGACATGGATCTTGCTTTTATATTTCAGTTCACCCTACTATTTTGAAGCCAAAAAAGTAAAACCAGAAGCATTCTATGCTGACAACAGTCTGTAAGGAAATTAAACACTTAACTGAGTGTTGTATACAGAAGTTCAGGATATGTTTTCAGACATAAAGGATTTAAGCGCACATTACGATAAAACCAACTCAAACTATATTTGTTGAAAACAAAGGAAATATTTGAAGTTTACAAAACATTTTTTCCTAATTTTTGAAGTTATCTCACACAGATGCATAAAACATTTAAAAACCTCTTCTTTCATTTTGGAAATACATCTCTGAGTACATGTTATGGTAACTGTTTCTATGAAGTCATAGCTAATATGTGATTTAATTCTAGAGTGTATTTTAAAAAGAATAAAGGATTTTGCAACTCTAAATCATATAAGCTTCAACACACAAAATTAGAATAGCTTACTGGCCTATGGCATGAATAAAAACCCCTCAAAGTTGAAAGAACAGATTTTTTTAAGGATAAGAACCCTTTTCCTCTAAACTTTCAAAACTGTTTAAATGCAGTTATCTTCTGTTTGCTTTTAGTTGTAAGAAGTGACGTGACTCCACCTACTGGACAAAATGCATTGCTATTCCAGCGTGAAAAAAGTGAATCCATTAAAAGCTGGAGCCATTTATAATTGTCTTTTAATAGGTCCCTATTTAAAACTGCACAAAGTTACAAGAAAGGGAGAATAAGTAGTAAGAGAAATAATTAACAATGATTCTGCTTAATAGAAACAATTGCAAATTTTCCCTTTTTCGAGGGGAAAAAAAAAATCACACAGAATAACTTACTTCCTCCATTGTTTAATTTGTTCAGGATTTGTGTACTCCTTTAGACATTCAGTAATGTGATCTCCAATTTTGATTAGACACTGTCTAGTATGTTCTAGCTGTTCCCTTTCAGAAAGGCCTTTCTCTGGTCTATCCAGCTGTTTCAACGCTGCTTTGACAGGCCTCATTCTTTCTTTGCACTGTAAAATGGAAAGAAGGAATACATTTATTCAAAGGGGGAAAAAAAAAAAGAATTCTAAAACACGACCCACCCTTAGTGTGATATTTATATAGGCAAAGACAGTACTGTTGTAAGCCAAATGAAACACAAGACTTCGCTCACAGCTCTTAAAATTTAGTTTTACTACAGGTTTCCTTTGGAAAAAGTAGTATTTTAAATCCAGCTGGAAATTTACTCCTATATGAAAGCATTAGATTGTATGCAACAAAGATATTAAAGATTTAAGAAAGCACTAATTTAATGTAAAAGATTTTCTGAGGGAAAGAACCTATTACAAATGGATTTTACAATCATGGTTATAACTTTCAGCACGAGTATATAGGACAGGACTTATTTTACCTTTTAGGACCTTGAAAGCTATACAAACTCAGTATCAAGATTAAATATGAGAATGTTAAATACATTTTAAATAGATACATTCTGCAACAATTAAAATTAGCATTCAGCAGATGTTCAGCATTCGTTCTTCGAGGAGTTTTTAAGCCTGAGTTCTATGCAGATCCTAACAGAGCTTGAACTGTCTAGGATAATGCTAGTTTAGGTATGCCCAAATTAGCAACGATGGTGATGGCAACGCACACGCACCCACAGACACATTTCATATGTCCGTTCCTGAATTTTCACATTGTAATTCAAATGTGTTGATGGTAAGCGCAGGTAATCCAGTTAGCATGTTTTAAATTACAGACACTTGCTTGGAAATACTATCCAATCACGATGGCAAGGTAAACAGCTGAAACGCACACTGCCACAAGTCAAATGAGTTAGCCTCAGCAACCTATAGCAGTAATTTCCATCTGAAAAAGTAGTTAAATATGCTAATTAGATTGCATCTGACTGTGGCCTAATGATGAACACACATTCTGCAACAGAGGGCCTGTCCAAAAAAAGTTCAATACACAACTCCAACCTAGAATTGCTCCCTGTAGCGGAAAGAAGCAAGTCTGTATATCCAGAATCAAACAACATGAAGGATTTTGGAGAACATCACTATCACTTTGTTAACATCTAGGGATAACTCAGAAAAGTCCCTAGAGCTGTTCTATTGCCAGCTGATGCCATTAAGTAACCAAGGAACTACACTACATACTGTATTAGCCACAGCTTAGCGTAGCCTTTAAAACACAATTTTACAGAGTGCGCTGCTTAACTTAGTATAAAGGCGGTCAGAAAAGTTTAAATGCACATGGAAACCAAGCAGTTTTCAGTCACCTAGCCACACACAGACATCTACCTGAATCATTTGAGACTCCTCCTGGAAACCACAGATGAATCCCTTGCCATGTTGAGATTAAAAAAAAAAAAAACAAAAAAAACCCCCAATAAACTGGTCACTGCCATACTGATCAGAAAACAGTAACTTGCCTTTCACAGCCAACACCAGAATAGACCCAGTAAACTTGCCTTGCAGTAACAGATAGCTGTTGAAACCTGAATGATAGAACATTCACAGCAGAAAAGTAGAGGCTCAAAATAGCTCCTTGGCATTTTTCCAGAGGCCCCAACTGACCTACACAAATCTGCACAGACTGAGCCTATCTACCTCTTTTCCTCCAATGCTGACTCTGTTGCAGTCAGCAGCAGTGATTTAACTGATGTTCTTCAGTATCAGATAGATTACTCTGGCAAGGTATTTCTAAGGGCTTTAGAATTTGTTTCCTCCTGTGTCTAACAGTGAGTCTGTAATACTCAAGGGAAACTTTGAAACGTCATTTCTCTTGTCTGCTGACAGAAAAAATAGGGGCATTTGATAAGGCCAAACCAGAGACTTCAGCAACTGTGTTAAAGTTAATTAATTTCTATCCTTTAAGAAGCAGCAGACACGTGGGTTATTCTTGAGGACAGATAATCATATTTTAAAACTATTCGGTGCACAGATCAGTGGAAAAATACTCTTCAGTAAACTGCAATAAATAAATAAACAAACAAAACTGCTGGCCTGAAAACAAACCTGACTTCAGTATGGCATCCACAACCTTCACTGATCTGAGATTTTACTGGCAGTAGATCATCTGTACTACAACGCCTAATGGCAGAACCCAGAACGTCAGAAATCGCATCCACTTGGCACATCAGGCATAAACACTAAGTTATCAATAAGGGCCTTACCACACTGAATGTCTTCTGATCAAGCTCTTCAGATTCCTCAGATATAGGAACTGGCTCACTAGTTGCTGTAATATGAACCGGAGTATCCGACAACGGAACTTTTTTAGTTTTTTCTTTATTTTCAGATTTGGTTTCATTCACCTAAAAACAAAATATGAAAATATATCTGGTAAGAAAACCTTGTATTTGGGTCTGGAATTATTCTGTAACTAGGCAATTACCATAAGTACTGCATTCTCTTCACTAATAACAAGAAATAATATCCTGACATGCAATGCTGGTAGATTTTATTTTCTGTCTCTGAAGGATGGAAAAAGAGAATGGAAAAGAAATAAATGACTTTTAGGCCACTTGCAGCCCCATTAAGCCATGTATCTTTAAAGGGTAATTTCCGATTTCATATGCCTGTTCTTGCAGTTGCAAAGGGTAAAAATAAAACTTCAAATTATGTAAAAGATTTCAATGAAATGACAACTGATCAATAAATGATCCAAAATACCTTTTCAACTCAAAATCATTCAACAAAAACCTGAGGGCCTTTTCTAGTGCTACATAAGACAAGTAAACCTAGTTACCTTCTCTTCCTTTACTTCTTTTTCTTTCTGTGTGGATTCTTTTACTTTGTTTTCTCTCTTTTCTTTAATATCTTTTTCTTTTAATTCTTTCTTATCCTCTTTTTCTTTTTTCTCCCTTTTCAAATCCCTCTTATTTTCCTTCTCTTTTGTCTCTCTTTTTTCTTCAGCTTCCTTCTTTATACCAATATCTGGCTCAGGCTTTTCTTCATTTTCTTTTTCTGCTTTTATTTTTTTATGTGGATGTTTCACTGAAACAATCTCATCCTGCAATACGCAAGCATACATGTCACATCAAACTGAGCTCCTAGCTATACAGTTTTGTAACCATCAGATTAAAACATACTTTTTCTCTGTAAGTAATTACTTTAGACTTAGATTTAACACCTATGAAATAGAGCTGGATGCAACTGCAAAGAAAAATGAGGACCCCTCACTCATTTCCTTGATGTGACACAAAACAAGTACTGATTGGGCAGTAGCAATGGGAGTGAGAGATTAAATCCATTTAACTTTCATATTCCCAAGGAAACCTGCCCCGTAAAATGTAGCTAAGCTGTAAAGAGTTTAAAAAAAAACACAGAAGCAGACATCACAGAACTGAACTGATTGGTCAGGGCACTCAAGTGATGGTGATAGAATACCTCTGTTCTAGTTAGCTTTGTTCCAGTAGCTTTTACTGATCACATATTAAACATTCAAAAAGAACAAAGTCTCAACCTCCTCTTGTCTGGGGCGAGGGGGAAGAGTCTTACAGATCATCTGAGAAGGGCCCATTTAATTACTTCATGGTGAACAAAATCTCTTCTGAGAAAACAACTTCACAGCATTCCCCTACTGGCATTTACAATATTCACTTTGGAGGTCTGAGATAAAAGCTCAAATTCTTTCAGACACAGAAAAATACTGTAACAATAACAAGCAACAAAAAGGTACACGTGGAAGAATCATCGTCATCATGAACGTATCTGAAACGAATCCCGGGAGAACACATAGAGAATTCAGGCTTCCAGAAAAGCCGGTGAAGGAACGTCTAGTACACGAATCCCAGCAAAGTACCTAGATTAGGTAGCTAGCAACAAGCTCAACCAGGACTTCAGTATTTAGGGGGAACTGCCAGCAAAATAAAACGAAACAGGGACGTAAAGCGTTTCCTGAATGCTACAGTAGTTAAATAGAAGCTGTACCTGAGCTTTAAACACTATGGCAGTTCAGTGGCATTTAGGTTGTTAAATCCTATTGCTGGATTTGGCCCAGGTTTCAGAAGGGCAATTATTTTGTGTGTGCAAAACAGAATTCAAACGATGAACATCCGTTATTAAAGAAACAAAAGGAGACAGCATCCTAGGTGCTTTCCCAAAATACAAGACAATTAACAGACTGCCAGTGCCATCTCTTTCAAGTGGAGATTAGTGTCCAATGCACATTTTAAGCAGACTGAAGACCTAATTTACCTAATTTTATGAATCAATTGCCCATGTATTTAGTGGGATAAGACACTTACAGTTTAGTTGTACATTCCAGACCAATTATTGCATGAAAATATTAACAAGTCCTCTTTCAAAAAAATTTTTGTTCTGACTTTGTTTTATTTTTCATAATATAATTTAAACGTATATAAGAACGCTTTAATCAAGACTGATAATTTTATATAAACATATCATGATTCTTTTCAGTCTGACTCAGGTTTAACTGAATATTTGAATAAATATTTTTCCCTTACCGTAGGGCCATTATTATCTTAACGTTTTCAATGACTTGTCATAGTTTAAAATGGTTAAGTAAAAACATTTATTTCAGTTTAGTTTATTTTAAACCACGAAGGAGGTATTTTAATGATACATATATATTTACACCAATTTATTTCAACTGCCTTCAAAGTCACAAAACTGGGTTCAACACGTCCCTAAACTTTTTCCAAGTTTTTCTCTTTAGCAGTTTTACTGAGATAGATGTTAAAAAAAAAAAAAAACTAAAAACCACCCACACACCACACACGGAGAAAACCCAAAAAATTCCAACAGAAGCAGAATACACAGTCTTGAAAGAATACATCAGTAATAAAACATAACAGTGTTAAGCAGTCTATCTGAAGAATGAAAGCTGTGACATATACAGGCCCTTTCACTTGAATGCCTCAAAACATCATTTATTCATGCTGTTATTTCTAATCAAACTTCATTTTTTTTCCTAAGCCTGAATAAAAAAAATCTACCTGCAGAATCTGTATCAGCAGTAATAACACATTACTCAGAAACATTAGTTTTACGTTCAGACGTTACATTAGACTTAAACACTTCCAGCAGATACGATGCTGAAGTCATTAAAGAACCTCGAAATTGCACAATGACACTTGTAATCAGACTAGAATGTTGTTTTATGACATAATAATTCAGAAAAATCATAACACCTCAGCTACAAGCCTCTCATTAAATTAATATAGATACAGTCCTCCATATGACTGTACCGATTCAATATTAAGAGTAAATGCCACAAAAGGATGCAAACAACAGAAGTCCTCTGCCGGAGGAATGCCATTCAGGCATTTCAACTTTACAACAGAAACAACTGAATAGCCATCTTTGCCACATGAAAGATGTTTACCTTGTTATCCTCATCTTCATCTTCATCAGACTTTTCTGAGGGTGGTGGAGAAGAGTCACTTTTTATTTCTTCTTTTACTTTTGCAGCCTTTAGCACTTTATTCTTCTTAGTTCTTGTTTTCCTCCTCTTTGAATTGCCCTGAATGCAATAAGTATCTTTATTATGTCAACTGACAAGTATCTTTGCTCCGCAGTTAGAGGAAAAGATCTTTTTCTATGTTAAATAAAGGGCTCCTCTTATTTATTGCCACTGACGGCCACCACTTTTCTCAGGAATGTAGACAGAACACAGTGCAATAGTAAAAATTAAGAGTACAAGTAAGAGAATAAAACAATATTAAATGTGCAATTCATTACTTGAGTTAGTCTCATGTAATATGATTAGCAATATGGAGAAAAATTGCACAAAGAAAAAGGATGAGCAGAAAGAAAAAAAGAAAAAAAAAAAAGAAAAAAGGAGGATCACTAACAAGCCCATAAGCATATTATTTTATCTCACTACTGCATGTCAAATTTTACTTACTGCACCAGCAAGTCTCTGTGCTTCCTTTCTTGCAAGGTCTTTATTCAGTAATTTAATGAGGTAGTCTGCACGGGTCTGTAACTGCTTGGCCTGGGGTTTCTTATCTGGATCGTCAGGTAAAATCTGAGAGGAACAAGGGTATTGTCAACTTTGTGCAGAAACCGTCAAATTTGCGAGCTACTAGCCTGGAGCACTGGGATCCGAAAAAGCTGCCCAAAAGGTTGGGAAAAAAAAATCCACTCCAACTATACGTGGCAAACATGCCAGCAGGCTTAAAGGAATGGTGAATTTCTTAAACATGTCATTTTTCCTCCAATCACATAACTAACGTAGACAGTTTTGAAAATCGTCTCACCGAATTTACAACAAACTCGAGAAACCAGCCTCAGATTGCTGAGTTCCTGTACCGCTGCCAGCCACAGCGCTCAGAGTTCTGCCTCACGCTTCGAAACGCAGGAATCATAGCAGTCAAAAATATAAATGGCTGTGTTCATAAAACAGACTAATCAATGGAAGGCAGGAGTAGAAATCATTATTAAACGGATTTGGACACAACTCTGGCTCCTTGAATCCCAAAGCTACAGGTTGTTGGCAATATCATTAAGTTTGCTTCACCTACATATCAGTTACTCGCTACGGTTAAGCGGCTCTTGTGCTACTTCTGGTCTGATGAGTACAGCTATTCTCAGGTTGCGAAAGAAAGCGTTTCAAGTGAAGGAAATGGGGACTAAGCCTGGGGGATCAGGGGAGAGAGGGAAACACACACCAGACCACATGACAGCCTCCCTTCCAAAAACTCAAGAACAAAATGAACACAACTAGAGCATCTAAAACGGGGAAACAAAAGATCCGAAAGGAAGAATTCAGGTGACAGAGGTCCAAGTACATGGAAATATGGAAACATAATAAGCTAAGAAGGCATACTTTAATAGAATATACAAGACCTTGAAATCTACCACAAGAAGGGTACAAAGCAGTAAAACTGATATACAACTTCTGTGCAATTTCAGTTATCATAAAATACGCTCTTTCAGTGACTGCTCTTATTAGCATTACTACCTAAACAAAAAAAGTCCTTGACGACGGGAAATTCTGTAGATGACATACCTTCTGTGTCAAACTGAGATCAGGATCCATTTTTATCATTTCCCAGCTGCCGTAACCATATTCATAGATGCCTATTAACAGATTGGAATCATCTTCCTTACCCCAATCTATATCAAAATGAGCTGCCTTGGTGTGGCAGGGGACGACATATCTAGTGGAAGTAAGTTAGACAATAAGTGATCTTTACTTCTGAAACTTAGCAAGGGGGTGGGGAACATGCTACAAGTAGGAAAAATAAAAGTTATCACCGAGATGCTGGTGTATTTAGGAAAGTAATTCAGGTATCTATCATCGGACTTTCTTACAACTTCTTTAAAATATTTACTGAAATCAGTATTATAACATATTTTAAAGCAGGTCCAGATTAAGATACAAGGAACAACAGGTACTGTCCATGGCCATGGAATGAGTCATGAGCTGGCCAGCCGTCAAGAAAAGCTTAAAACATCACCCAAGTGTAACCGCTAACTGAATTTGTGGATAGTTTAGGGAGTATGATATACAAGGTGGCAAGCTACAAAGTTAAGAGGGTGAGGACTGAGAAAAACTACCAGCAATGACTGTCTGCTCTGCTGTGACAGATACTACTTTGCCTCAGGCAGAGATAACACAAAGCAGCTCCTCAACAAGCCTGACTTCTAATCTAGAATATTAACTGAAGCCAGTCTGCAATGAATACAGTTCAGAAACCAAAGCAGGTACTGGCTGCTAAGGGGAGGGAAGAAAGAATAACGACACAGAGCAGACCGCTGCTGCCAGTCCTTTACAGGGAATGGAGAGACACTGGTGTCACAATGTGCTTAGTCTGGACTGATAAAATACATGCATAAGAGCCTTCAATAATCTTCTCCATTATGGCTTGCTTTAGAAAAAATTACCTTTTCCTTTCTTCTGGATCTGAAGGAATGGATTTATGCAACGGTGCCAACTCTTCTTCGTGAGAAATGACGAGCTTTGCATTTACTTGCACTCCTGATATTCGGAATGTTGGGCCTTTAACTTTCCCAAGTCTACCTCCTTAAAACAAAAGGCCAAAGTACTTAGGCTTTATGTGTAACTTACAGACAAATGTAAAGAAAACAAGAAAGATTGCTGCTGTAGCAGCACAGCTTCAATTCTATCAAATATATTTTTCGTAACCAAACGCCCCAATTAAACTTCAGAATCTCAAGGTCTTCCATATAATAATATCAGATTAGCTTTAAGTTTCATGGTAAAGCAAAAACTTACTGCATCCTCCTATGACAATTCACACAGGGAAGGAGTGTGGAGAAAAACTCCTCTTCCTACAACCCCCTTTCTAATAGCCTAACATGCTAACATATATTACTTTTATTTGTATTTTCTCCTAACACAATTGTTTTGTCTTATAATCAGCATGCAAGAACAACTCAGGCTTCTTGATGCTTTTCATTCCTCTTCCTCCCCACCCAAACACACTGTACCTGCTCTTTCTGGTCCGGAAGAATTGTCCTTTAAAGCCTTAATGCATCCATTATGTACAAGCTCTCCCAGACGCCTAAGGTCGGTCTCAGATTTATCAACTAGCTCAGCATCTCTAGCTATAGCGTCTAACCTGTAATAAAACAGATACGTATTTTTCACAACTCTACAATTTTACTAGTTGGTGAATGACTCCTTCAAATTTTGAGGTTAGAAAGGTGATCATGTAAGCTATCTGTTAACCACACCTGCTGCACTGTGAGCAATTTTGATCCATGCAGTTGAAAACAGCTATAGAAAATTATACAAAAACTATAAAAGGAAAAAAAAAAAGGAAATAATATAATTCATCCAGATACCAGAGGACAATACAACAAGAACTGTAAAGGATCCTAACTATATAGCTTTGAGTTACGTTACCGCGTATTTTTTAAAAAGAACAGGAACTGTAACATGATCACATAAGCTATAAATATTTTTAAGGAAAATGAAGATAAGAAATTATTCTCAAACAGTGCAGTAATACAGAAAACGTAAAAATAAGAACTGACAATAAGTAAAAATGCAAAACTACCTTCGGCAGGTTCAGTGGATAAAACCACAGGCTTTCAACAGACTATCAAACAAGACAACTAAACCATTATCACTAACGCACATTAAACAAGATAGTATGTAAAGTATAAGGAAAAACCAAATAGTCCTGCAAAACTGAGGGGTTTACATTATTGGCTGTCTACATAAAGGCCATATATGAAGAAACGAAGATACTAAACTAAATCCACGTTAGAGTTAAGGCAACAGATTAGGTACGCTATTTTCTCTTCAACCTAAGTTTTCTAGGTGTATTGTTCTAATTTTATCAAAACAAGGTTCCAAGTTGCTACACAACTATAATCAAATAAGTTTACCTTTCAAGAGGGCCACCGAATTTCTTGTAACTCTTGATAAATCTAGTAATAGAAAATAATTTTACAGTTTAAATAAATTCTTAACTAATCACATTGGTTTTAAAACTTTATCAATAATTTTTAGTACAACATAATATGTACAATGCAAAGAAAATAAAAACTAAAGAGACTAGGGTAGCTTAGTATATCAAGATACCCCACATTTAAAACCACAGTTCAATTGGTTTAAGGACCGATACAAATACAACAACAGATGGTACAATTTATTTCAGAAATTACTCTACTATGTTCATGAGACAAAAGATTCAGCAACTAGATGTGTCTAATCATAAAAATCAAATGCGAATTTACAGTAAATAGAGAATTCAGACATTATGCTATGCCTCATATAATAAAGAAGAGCTAGCTGCAACTCAAGATAGATGACTTTATGATTTTGGAAAACATGACATGAAAGATACAGGAATGTTTGTACCCTCAGAAAAAACGTGGACGGTTGCAAAGAAACTGGAAATATCTGGGACACAGAGAAGGAACGAAATAAAAAAGGAATTTTCCTCAACAAACAAGAATCCAAGTTACTAGTGCAAGCACAAGAATAACCTTGTCAAAAGCTGCAGTCCATTATGTTGGATGAAATGGAAAGGGAAAAAGGATCTTGTAAAGTTGTTTCTATAACCAAAAAATATTTTGGAAACTTTAAAGAGAAACCTGAATACTTAAAACTCCAAAAACAAAGTAGCGTTTCACAAACCTGTAAAGATAAAGCAAAAACAATTCCTCTTCCTTCTTTTACAAAAAAATATTTTAAGCATCAAATACTGATGGGACCAGCTGTACAGATTTACTTATGAAAATGGATTTTGCGTTATTTAGTTTTAAAAAGCATCGTATCACAGTTATTCAACTACAGTGGCAAAAAGTCTAAAACAAAACAAAACTCACTCAACTTTTGGTGGGTATCACCACAAAAACATATGTACTCTTTCTTCAATTACAATTAATACTGATGGGAAGTAGAACATTTTGTTTATTTGCTGGGGGATAGGGGAGGTCACCCATTGTAAAAATTGCATTTTGGAAACCAATGTCTTCAGGGGATGCAGGGATTAGGAGTAATGCATACTCAATCAAGAATATTTTTCCAGCCTAATTTTATCCCTCACCAAAATGAGCTCAAATTCCGGACACTACAGTCCCTTACGTCAGCACCGTAAAGTACACAAGGTAAAACTTTAATGCCTTGAATAAAAGTTTTCAACTACATTCAGGAAAAATAAACTGTCTTTGTATTTTTAAACTCTAAAATGATTTTTAAAATTTTGTTCTGTCCCATTAATCACGCATGTTCCTCCCCAATCTTACCGTCTAATCTCTGCATCACTAAATCCTTTAATATTCTCTCGAGGAATAGTTCGCGGTCTTCCACGTTTCTTTGGCCGTTTTCTTTCTGAGATGGAGTCACTATCAGATCCAGAATACCTTCTGTTCCTACTGCGTCTTCCTTCGCTTCCATTAAAGCTGATCTGGAATTTCAGTAGTTCAAAGCAACATAATTAAAATGCATGAATACAATTATCTAGTCTGCCAAAAATACATTGCAGGAGAAGGGGGGGAGGGGAAAAAGAAAAAAAGCAAGCAATCCAAAAATAAAGACCAAAACAACAGCAACACAAAAATGAAAGTCAGTCAAAAACCAGACATACCTGTTTTGCACAGTTTCTCATCCTTGGGAGCATATATATTTCTTCAAGTTCTTTTTGTCTTTCCTCCTCTTCTATTCTTCGCCGCTGGACTTCTGGAATGATTTCTTCCCAATTTCTTGAATTTCGTTCTGGTTCCAACTCAATGTCATCTTCATCCATATTGGAAAAGTTGGCCACCTTACGTATCAGAACACACGTATTTTCACCAAGTCAGTACATAACTTTGTTTAAATGAGAGTCAGCAACTAAATTTTAGGAAAGCTTCGTCCACGATGGCATATTTTATACAGACACACACATGATGAAAAGAATATACACACATATATATAGTTAATAAATACAAAATACTTAATGAAACAGTCTCTAATGAAAATATTTTCATACACATGTATATACACACACACACGCTCCGCTCAACGTGGTTGAATATAAAGATTGGAATCTTGTTCTTATTCATTTAAAAGTTAGCTAATCAAAGTACAATGAGACAGTCTCCTTGATAGCTGTAAGATTATTATTTAATTGTCCTTCAAAGCAAGGATAATGGCATTTGAATGGCTAAATTAACGCAAAACTAATAACAAAGCTAACCATACGTTAATAAATTGTAGAAATTTCAATATGCT